CAATGAAGTACGCCTTAATTACTCAGGATTTTTCTAGAACTAGAAGGCGTAATCCTTTCTACTTTTTTGAGCCATCTGCAAATACATTGATGGATTGAAAAAGTGTCTATACTAACAATTTCACTCCTTCATACATCGTTCCCAATACGGAGTCTATACTCTTTGTATTTGCTTTGCACTAATTTTTATTTATTTTATTTTCTATATTTATTAATTAGCTATTTATGGCATTGTGAGTGAAACCGCAAAAAGAAAATCATTTCCCTATGAAAAGTTTTTGAAGAAACAAAGTAATAAATCCAGATATACAATTTTCAATTTTATAAAGCCAATACTATCGTTACACTTAAAGTATATCCCTGGTAAAACCTTCCCAATCAAATTCACCATCCTAAAGTGGTACTAACAGCACTTTTGTGATGTCGTATGAGAAAAACAAGCAAGAAAAAATCAAGAAGGTGCCGCTAACATTGGTTTTTGCTTAATGTGACCACGTTTTAGAACTCGTTTCGCTCGGTTTTTGTTCTTCTGGGGCATCATCAATAATTTATCCGTTCCCGTCACAGGCTTGATATACATCAAATTTATAGCTATGCCCATTTGAAACTGTAACTCAGGTGTGTCATAACATAAAGTCGGAATTTTGGGAAACCAACCAATGATGCCTATCTTTTTCGTAATAAAACTCGAAGGTAATGAGTCTCCTAACTGGTATTACGGTGGCTTTAACAATGCTCATCATCATATTACTCTCCACTTTGTTTTAAATTTGTGACCAAAAGAGATATAAAAGTGGTACCGTTACACGGGCAGCCAGGCACAAAGTAATATTTCTTGGAATGTTTATAAAATTGCTAAATTTATTATGAGAAACGTGATTACTCGCCGGGAATGACTCATGTAAACCAGGTGCAAATTCAAAAGTTATTTGTGCTGTGATTAGGCCTAAAACAAGGATTTAATTGGCGGTGAAACATCTTTTTTTTGGGGACAGTTTTAATCATTTTCAATCTGAGATAGTATTTAAAATGTAAGTTGTTTTTGGTAAGCCTCTATTAAGTTTAATTTGGCAAGAAAATTATTGGCTTGCTATAAAGATATAGGCGTTCATGTTCTTCTATTAGTGTGCTTGTATAACGAACGCGACGTCTTGTGTTTGGGAAGGTGAACTGTTCTAGGAGCAGTTATTTGATTGTGTGAGTGTTTGAACCATTTTCAGCACTTACTTAACCCTCTAGGGGGGTTGGACCAACCCCTACCATTCCAAATGGAACAAGGGGTCGAGTGATACCTGGTTTTAAAAGGGCGTTCAATTTTCTTCCAAATGACATCAAATGAAAGAGAAATGAACACTCTTTCAACAGAGGTATCACTCGACCCCTTGTTCCATTTGAAATAGTAGGGGTTGGTTCCACCCCGCCTAGAAGGTTTAAGTAGAAGTGCTAAAAATGGTAGCAGAAAACTTCCCCCTTTGAAAATCAAATAAGGTGTACGAGCGATTTTTTTAAAAATTAACGTAGCATCAGATATTCAGCCTGTTTCGTTTTAAATGGTACACACTGTATAGGTACCTGCTACTACTTAATGAATTGTACTCGAAAAAAAAAATAGTAAAAGTATTTCACTATCATCGGCAATATCCGATCTTGGGAATTATTCGAAAGCCTTATGTGAAATAAAATAAAAAAGTTTTTTTACGATAAAATAGTTTTCAACTCATAAAGTTTCCTTATTCTGGCTACAAGTTAAAAAATATGGTATTAACAAATAAACTCCACCATCTTGGCTAAAATAATGATTGACCTCTCCAACTTATGATTTGTTTGTGGTACTTTTATATTATTTAATACTAATCCATGTTGATTGTTGACAAAATGGTTCTTTAGTGATCATGGGCTAGTTCTTGGGAAACAATATCTATGTTTTATGTTCTGACACCGGCTGTTTTTCTAAACGTTGTTACTTCAGACAATTCGGCTAGAAGCATTTTGAGGTCTCTCTTGTTGGGAAATGGACTAAGAAATAAAAGAACTTGTTAATTATCGATATTCAATATATTTATTATATCGAACACAGAGTGGAAAGCAGAGCGTGTGAACTCGTAGAAATAACTATACGAACTGACTCAACATCAAGACAAAAGGCCTATTCGGGTTTGGAAAAAGGACGGTTCTAGAACGGTTCAAAACAATGGTCCAGTTTATTGATCAACAAAATAACAACGACTCGACTATCACAAATTTCAATAATAAACTGTGCGATTCTTCTGGGCCGTTCTAGAACCGTACTTTTTCCAAACCCGAATAGGCCTAAAGAATTACAAACCCTTTCTTAAGTAAACGATTCCTCATCTGTTTATCTTACATATAAAAACTATTATAAAGACATTCAGTCATCCATAGCTGCGATATAAATTAGCAAAGTATAGACTAATAATGAAAGTTTAATTTATTAATTTTTGTTCCACTGATATGAATATCAGTTTATCCAACATCTCTTACTATTGATTTTCAAGATGAATTTATTGCCTTCGAATTTCTGTAACAACGGTTACATCATCATCTTCATTTTCTTGGATAGCGATCAATTCATTTCATCAGCCTCTGGCACAATTTCATCCTTTCTACCATTGACAAATTATTTGCATACCCTACAGAAAATATACTGTGTGTCCCGATAAGGACTGACCACCCTTATAAAAATTTAATTTTTCAAGCGATTCAATTAATTTTTTTTTGTCTTATATCTACTCGAATTTAGCACTTATTAGGCTCATAATTTTATTTCTGCGGCTGTACTGGTGTACAGGGTATCCACATTTATAGGCTCAAATTTCAATAAGTACCATTAGGGATTTTTTTAGAAAAAATCTTGATAGCAGATTCTTGTTTGGAATGGTCTAAAACCCAAATGTACTAATTTTTGTTTCGATATGATACAAAGTGATCACAACAAATTTTCAAAATTTAATGGACCAATCCGGAAAAATGTCAAATTTTGAGGCCTTGAGAACAACAAAACTCGATACAACATAGTTTCAGAACATCCTTAAACAAAACTTGTAGTAAGCTTGTCTCAAAATATAACATTTTTGCGATTTGATTCATTAAATTGTGAAAATTTGTTGTCATCACCCTGTATCGTATTGAAACAAAAATTAGTACATTTGGTTCTAAGACCATTCTAATCAAGAATCTGCTCTCAGATTTTTCCTAAAAGAATCCCTGATAGTACTTATTGAAATTTGAGCTGGTGATTGGGTGTGACTCCAACTCGCACCACATCAACTGAGGAAGTCAGGATATAAATCCAAGAGGAAAGTCTCTGTATGACTTTATAATAGGTAATGATCTGTTCATATGTAATAACGGCCCAATATCAACTCTCTTAAACTCTCGTAGTCAAACTGTAATAGATATAACACTCTCAGTATTAATATCAAATTCAGTCCATAATTGGCGCGTATCTGATGAATTTTTTATGTCGGATTACCGATGAATAACTTTCACATTAAGCTGCTCGCCTAAAACCACAAGGCCTTATCGTGACTCCAGAAAAACCAATATTGCACAGTACGTGCAAGGTCTGGAAAGAGCTCTACAAGAGGTTGCATTTAAGACACGCAATGATGACCAAGAATTGGAGCGGTATGCCAATACCATCCAAGGTGCCATCATAAAATCCTATAAGATGTCGAGCCCACTGAGGATGTTCCAAAACTCTGGTAACGCCTCTGCTTGGTGGTGTCTGAAACTGGAACACCTCAGGGCGACTACAAGAAAAGCTTCCAATAAAGCTTAAAACACTAAACTACCTGAGGATTGGAACCTTTATAGGTACCAACTCAACTAGTATGAATGAATGAATCGTACGACAAAAACAGAGATGCCTGGAGGACATACTGCAACGAAATAGAAAACTATATGCGTCCTTGGCGCTGAGATACATACCCAAGGCTTGGAGAGAAGTTAAAGTAGTGTTCCTTGCCAAATCAGGGAGGATGGACTACACCACCCCCAAGGCATATCGCCTCATAAGCCTCTCATTATTTTCTCTAAAAACAGTGGAGCGGCTAGGCGAAAGATATACTTACATATAAGGGATGAAGTGTTGTCAACCAATCTACTCCACCCTAATCAACATGCATACACCCTCGGGAGATCAACGGACACAGCCCTCCACCTGGTTAACCACTCGCTAACAAAAAGCAATATTCCAGAAACTGTTACCGGATGGATATTCAATATGCTTTCCAGAAGAATTGAACAGATAAGTGTGCAGGACGTCAACATTAAAGGAATGGTCACAAGAGGCTGCCCGCAGGGAGGCGTGCTATCACCTCTCCTGTGGAACATGGTTCTGGACAGCCTCATTGTCTGCCTTAACAAGGACAACCACTACACAATAGCTTACGCAGATGACGTAGTTATCTTGTATAGAGACAAATTCGAGATCTCGCTTTGCGAACGCATGCAACATGCTCTTCGAATTATAGAAAGAGGCTGCACGGAATACACTCTATCCACCAACCCCAAAAAGACTGAAATGGTCCTATTCACAAGAAAGAGGAAACTGGTACTTCCGATAGCACCCAGACTCTTAAACACCGAACTAAGTTTTAGCCGCCGAGGTCAAATATCTGAGAGTGAGACTCGATTGCAAACTAACATGGAACTCTCGTATTGCTAAGAGAATACATAAAGCATGTATCGCCTATGAACAGTGTAGATGTACTATCGGTAAGACCTGGGGGTTCTCCCCCAAGATAGTTGTGTGGATCTATACAACCATCATCAGGCGTATGCTTACCTATGGGGCTATTGTCTGGGGACATAAGGCCGAAAGACTAAGGCCCGTATTTTCAGTCACACCTCAAATTGAGGACCCCTTGCGACTTGAAGGTCGCCTTAAATAAGGACGCCTTCGTCCCTTCGTGGTTTGCGACTTTGGCAAAGTTCACTTTGGCGTTTCATAGTAGCGAGTTAAGGCATCCTTATTGAAGGAAGCTTCGTCTCAATTTTTGCAACTGGCAACAACGGTTTCTACGAAATGTCTATTGTTATTTTCACTAAGTTGTCATTGTTAATATATGGTCCTATGCGCAAAAGGTCAGATAGCTCTAGAAATAGTCGTTTTTCGTGTGAAATTTTTGCGCAAAATTATGGCGACCAAGTATACTGAGACGGAAAACATGTTCCTAGTCCAGATGATAGCTCAGCACAGGGTAATAGCAGAAAATAAAAAAACAGACGCTGTATCACTGAAGGAGAAACAGGCTGCTTGGAATAAAATTCAATGTTCCTATTGTAGTCCGAGCTTTCCAACTAAAAGCGTGAAAGAGTTAAAAAAGTGTTGGGACAATATAAAAAAGAAGTAAGTTATAACGATATTGTTCTGTGAAGAAATATGCAGTACAGCTATATCTGGAATGTTTTAGAAAAAGGCAGCAGAATACATTAGCCCGACAAAATAGGTTGTTAACGGGAGGGGGTTCTCCTAAGGAGGTCACTTCTGATCCTGTTACGGATTTTCCGGGGAGTGCTTTTCGAGCAATAGATGTTGAATTGAGGAACGACTGGGACAGCACAGCTGCTTTCGAAAAAAAAAGTTCGTGCATAGGTTGAATGTTGCTTAAATGAAAATCGTCTATTGCTGTATTTTTAGATTTGTCATTCCCGTTAGCTACAAAGGGCAATGATGCAGTGATGGATAACCGAACCTCACTGTCCCCACTGAATGATGAAAGCAGCCAGTCAGAGGGTATGCAATTCATAATTGAATACTCAAATAGGCAGCTTTTCTGAATTTTGTTTTAGATGAAGCTGTGCACCGCTACCATGTCAGCCTTCAACGAGTGCATCTATGGAGGCTGTGCCTGAACAGCTCACTCCAGCACCTGTTGTTCAAAAAGCACTCCATCTGTCCAACAGGCGAATGCTATCCAAGCGCACATGTAGCTGTAACGACGAGCTAATTCAGCTGCAAATTAAAAAAGTGAAAGACGGCATTGACCAACAACGGGAGTTGCACGAAAAGCGGATGGAAGCAGCGAATGCTGAAGCCAGACTAGCTATGGTTCGTTTGCGGAAGAAGAGCTGAGCGATTATTTAGATAAATAGTGCATTTTAACGTTCCTATTTTGTTTTCATTTAAGTTGTTTTCCACTTTTGTTGTCATTTTATATATTAAATGTTTGTTTGCTTGTTCTCTGTTCTGTGATGCTTTTTGTTATTATTTGTAACTCATGCCAAAGAAATAGAACGCAAACTCATTCAAAAACTATTTATTCAAATTGCAAAATCCAAGCTGAATTTTAGCGCTAGTTGAAAATGCAGTTATTGAAAATGTTGGTGAGCAAACACTGTCCGAAATGCCAAGCTTTCTGTATTATTATCGCCCGCAGGAAGTACATCCACAATAGCATCATCAAGTTCATCGTCTAAGATGTTGTCATTATGCAAGAGTCCAATATTATAGAGCACGGCGGTTGCACATATCACAGCCATACTTCTGAGCTTCGTACGTAGCCCACCTCGTAAGCAAAAAAATCGTCTCTTCCAGATTCCAAACAAACCTTTCACCAGATTCCTTGTTCTAATGTGCTCAAAATTGTACGTCTTCTCGTGAATGTCTCTTGGGTTTTAAAACGGCGTTAGAGTTTATTGGTGCAAGCATATGCACTGTCCCCTAAAAGTAATCCTGGGACTTCATTAAGCTGGAGACGAGCTCGTAGTGCATTCCTATTAAAAATGAGGCTGTCATGGCTGGATCCTGGATGCCACACAACAATGTCTAATATTTCCAAGTTGGGGCCTGCTGTTACCTTTTATTTGGAAACATTACTCTTTATAGTTCAATGTAACACAAAAATAAAGCAACCCTACCTGAACATTCAATGAAAACCAGCCTTTACGATTTCGAAAAACCTCCGCATATGCTCCTTCTGGATTTCCACTCGCAATATGTGTACAATCTATGCATCTTGAGACGTTTGGGAAATTTGCTATATTGAAAAACCGTGCTGTATTACTTCGGGCTTCGTTGAGTTGACGGGGAAAGTGGACGAAATTTCCTAACTGTCTTGCAAATAATATGGAGATATTTTTCACGGTTCGAAAAACGGAAGGTTGACTGAAGCCCCGCAGGTCACCATGAACTACCTGGCAGTTCGGATTATTGCGTAAATTTATCTCTGGCTTTAAATGAACAAAATAGTTGCTATAACCTTACCTGGAAACTATTTGACGCATAAAACCTAAGCGCAATTAGCAGCTGGAAAATTGGGGGGAATGGGAGTCCCCTATTATTTATTCTATCTAAATCTTCAAAAATAAGAGGTAGAAGAACGTCGGTGATAGTTTGTTTGGAAACTCGGTATCGCCGACGAAATTCTTCACCAGAATAAAATTCTAATGGATTCTGCATGTCTCGAATGTACCTTCTTGGCCTCGGCAGCACAACATCATCATCAGCGTCAATTATTTCTACAAATAAATTGTCCAGCTCCTCCATACTAATTACAGTACTAATATAAACTTCAGAACTTTGCAGATCAATGGAATACAGTTCACGTAATGTCACCAATAACATGAAATTTATAGAAAAAGGTTAGAAAACCAGTCTCAAGGGACCCCTGGGCATTCCTCAAGTCAAGGAACGAAATGTGCATGAGCGGCGATAAGGACGCCTTGACAATTTTGACTCTGCAAGACAATTTTCTGCCAAGGTCATCTTTAAGGAAGCCTCAGCACTTAAGTAGGCACTATGAATGCCGGACTAATGTAAGCCGGAAACTAGACCACGTTCAAAGAATGACATGCCTCAACATAACTGGTGCAATGAAAACCACACCAACTAGGGCTTTGGAAGTAATTCCATGTTTTACGCCCCTGGATACTTGTCAAGGAGGTCGTTTTAACCACAATGATGCGCTTCCGCACTGTTGGAATAGATCCAAGGGCAGAAGTCGGTTTGCAGAGAGCCCGCACATGGTGTGAGGCAACGAACTCGCTTCCATTCTTGGGGGCCAGAGTGGACTCTGCAACACCATGTTTCGCCTTCAAAAAGCACTAAGCAATCAACACGAAAGGCATTGCAAACAACACAGTGGCAGGGGTAAGCTACATCTACACTGATCTGATGGTTCCAAAACTCAAACAGGCTCGGGATGCGGAGTATACTCCAAAGCTCTCAAACTGAACCTAGCTATAGCCCTTGGCTCCATGTCTTATGTCCTCCAAACGGAAATTAATGGCGTAACCATCGCGGCCGAACATTTAGTCAGCAACAATATCACTGACAGGATCGTGCACATCCACACGGACTGCAGACAAGCAGTACTGACAGTACTAGCGCTGTCTAGACCGCGACTCACGTCAGAACTAGTACAACATTGCCACCGTACACTCGCCGATGCGTCGATCAATAACACGGTGGTAGTTGGATCAAAGGACATGAGTACAGCAAAGGCAATCAGGCTGCCGATGCTCTAGCTAGAAGCGCCGCCAAGCTACAGCCTTCTAGACCGGAGCCCTTCGTTGGGCTGACCATGTCGGCGGCCAAAGATATGATAAAAAACGCTCCCATACCCTTTTCAAAAAGCGCTGGGACGATACAACTGGCTGCAACCTATCCAAAGAACTGCTAAGCTACCCAGATAAAGGTGCAGCGAGCCAGAAGCTGTCGTTGAACCAGGAAAAGGCTACGCCCAATAATGGGTATCTTAACTGGCCACTGTCAGTTGAACAAACATTTGTTTAGGTTGCATCTCAGTACCACATCCTTCTGTAGGGCTTGTAATCAAGAAGACGAGACGATAGGGCATATTGTCTGTGACGGCACTGCGCAGAGCCAAATTAGTCTAATCTTACCCATCGCTAGAAGAGATCGGAGGCACCGCTCTCGGCGACGTCATCGCTTAGGGAATCGCTGGGCTAGGTGACGCACTAAGGATGACCTCTCCTCTTGTGGAGGCGCACAATGGGCCTAATCTGGCCTAAGTGCCACTATACCACCCTTCCAAGTGCATACCATACCACCCTCCCAATCTTACAGATACAGATAACTATACGAAAAGGAACCATAATGGACAATTTCTAAAGAACTATATGAGTTAAAGTCGCCTATTTCTCATTCTCAGAACCGGCTCCGACCACAACAATTTCTAATGTCTTTGTGTAATGTTAAATACAAAAACTTACCTGGTATGTAAACCTATTAACCATTTAGACGAGAAGCTGCTTTGTTATGATAAATGACATTGATTTTTCTAAAGCCTAAAAAAAATTATACCTCTTCTATAAAAATACTAAAGACCAAAAGATTCCTACAGTGTTACCTTTTCAAAAATGATCCCACTCTAATTATCGCCTGTTCGAATGGACTGAACCAACATCCCAAAAATCGTTTAGAATTGACACTTGACTTTGGCCTAAGCCAAGGGGCGACATTAGAAAACGTATTTAAATTATTTGCTCGAGTTGACTTTCTTAATAAGGGAATCGGTGTTGGTAGGGATCGGATTAGATTTCTGTGAAAATGTTTCGCATTATGGGACCACCCACAAAATTTCTCTGGTACTTGAGTTTGGGACACCGTAAGTAATCTCATGAGATTTGTTTGGGCATTTCAAATTGGCTTACTAAGAGGTAATAGGGATTAAACGGATCGAAATTGCCACGCCACTTACTATAAAAATATAATAATTAATTAATAATTAATGATTTTTAACGACCAGATATCCTATTATAGAATATTTTAAACGACATAATATGCTTATTATATGTTCGAATAAAACCCAGCTCGTTAACAACATTGACATAAACTGTTGCATTATTACCCAACGAACAAGCAATAATAATTAAAATTTGAAAAAAAATCTCAGACTCATGTTTGATTTATGTCTTTGCCTTGATGAGATCAATCAAACATTTTCTTCAAGCAAAATGGGGTTTATATATTATGAGCCTGCTTACATACATAATAAATCATATTTATGAGCCTTTTAGTGAAATATTAAATACAGATTTCTATTGACATTGTAAATTTTGAAGTATTGTAATTTATTGGAAATGTTTGAATCTTAATAACCCCTACATTTTCATGTACTAGTTGTTTTGTTTGTAATAATTATTTTCTTTAAAGTGAAACATATAAACAACGATGCAGTTTGCATTCTGTCCTTTTAAATGGTTTCATTAGTTTCCAATGAGTATAGTTTTTGGTTAATTAGAACATATTTTGGTGTTATCATAATGTCAACTCTTGATAACTTCGCGACATTTGGTGTAAATTCGCTTGTCACTTGTCAAAGTATTTCCAAGTTTTACAGTTTTTTTAGTAAAAGTCGCGACTTTGCACCGACGTTGACTTTTGACTATCATTTTAAGATAAAAAAAGTTGTTATAGTTTATTTCTGTTAGCTGTACAATTTTAAAAACATTACATTCAAGAATAGTTAGAGGTTGATAACATAACCCCTTAAATTATATTTCCAAATTTAGTTTTTATTGTTGAAATATTCTCAATTCCATGATAAAATGTTGATATCCGACTAGCAACTGTCCTGAACTGTTTGACTCTGAAATATTATCTTTAAAGGAAAACTGAGGTAATTAATGACTTATTTATTTTAAATTTTGACAAAATAAGACAATACAGACATGCATATAGGTAGTATGACCATGCACACGTCGACGACAACTTTATGACCATTTTACAAAGAAGTACCATCGATTTATGAAGAAAATTAGAAAAATATGCAAAGCGTCAGTCACAAATTACAGCTAGGACATGCCCGCAATGAATAACGAACGAAGGAACGCATCGCGAGTTAAGGGGAAACTACTGGCGCTGAATACAAAACGGCCTTAGTGAAGAGTAAAGATTCCTTAATTATCTTATGTGTCAGCCAGAAGGAGGTGGGTAATTTATAGTTATTGGCACCATTGTTAACAATTTTTACTAACTGAATGCTAACGGGGACCTCACAAGAACCCACTAATAAAAACCATGCTGTATACACTTCATGAATTTCAACCCGACGTGGTTATTTACAAAGTAATCAATTACGGCTAATCCGGTACAAATACAGAGTGAAT